CCCCCTTCTTATTTTCCACTTTTTGTCTCCCCTTCCCACCAATCTCATCCCTCTCTCTCTCTCTCTCTCTCTCTCTCTCTCTCTCTCTCTCTCCCTCCTTTCTGCACCCCCTCCTCTCTCTCTCACATTGTCCTCCTCCCTCTCTCCCTGTTTTATTTGTGTGTCTGTGTTGTTATCTTGAAGGATGTCAGCCCCGTTCATGTTACAACAACAGCTCAAAGGTGATGGGCAGGATGTCGGAGTCTCCTCAGATAGTCCAGGTGGGGGGGGGTCGTATCGGAGTCTCCTCAGATAGTCTAGGTGATGGGCTAGGCTGTCGGACTGTCGGAGTCTCCTCAGATAGCCCAGGTGATGGGGGTCGTATCGGAGTCTCCTCAGATAGCCCAGGTGGTGGGCTACTAGGCTGCTGTCGGACGACTATCGGAGTCTCCTCAGATAGCCCAGGTGGTGGGGGTCGTATAGGGTCTCTGGATATCTGCACAACTTCCTGGTTTATTTATAGCACAGTGTCAGGACTTAGGCCAGTGTATGACTTGCGTTGTTGTTTCTATCGCCGGGAGATTAATCAAGTAGCCTAGGCAATCGTTGGACTAATCGTGTCAGTATGATTAGTATTGATTAGTCCACCCGTAGTGGATGGTTGACGGGTGATTCCCTGTAAGGACATCTCTGCTGACATCCACCCCTTGGCGCTCCTCTGACCTGATGCAGTTGCGAGCTCCGTAATGCAAACAAACAAAAGAATTCACATCTCTTTAATCCTCAGCACCTACATGACTCCTTTGATGTGCAAGTGCCGTAAAACTCGCTCTTTAAACTAAAGAACAAATCATGTCCCATTTATTGATAGCAATGCAGATTCTGCCAAATCGGGTGGAGGGAGTCGGGTAGGCGTGCATGACACATACCCACATACCGTGTCGGCAGTTGACGGAATGTGATGATAACGAGAGACGAGAGATAGGTTTCCTTGTACAATGTAGCACACAAAGCTGGCTTCATCATACTGCGGGTACACTGTTGTCATGTATCTTCATCATACTTCATGACAATGTACACTGTTGTCATGTATCTTCATCATACTTCATGACAATGTACACTGTGGTCATGTACGCCCATGTGCCGTGGTCGGCCTCTCTTCATCTTATCTATCTCCGCTCTTCCCGGGGAATGGGTCGTCTTACTGTGTGTGTGCGCGCGCGCGCGTGTGTGTGTGTATGTGTGTGTGTGTGTGTGTGTGTGTGTGTGTGTGTGTGTGTGCATGTATGTCTAGTCTGTGTGTGCGCGCTCGATCGCGCTCATGAACGCGCATGTTTGTAATGATCAATTCATTATATGTGTATCTGTATCTGTGAATCTATGTGTGTATCTGCGAGCCCTGATTAGATGTGAGGCTGGTCCAGTGTACAGACGACCCTGCCACATGATAAATAAATGATGTTAGCCAATATCTAGATTCTACACCAGAGAGCCACAGGTTCAATAAATGATGTTATATATATATACACCAGAGAGCCACAGGATAAATAAATGACGTTACATCTGTACCAGTTAGCGACAGGGTAACTTGCGCCGACAGTGAGTTTATTTACACTCGTTCAAACAAAATATTCCATGTAATAATATTTGCTGTTTCTTTTGTGTGTATAAGGTTGTAAGGTTATTTCTTTGACTTTTATTTCTTCAGTCTGGCTGTTGTGAAAGAGGTTTCCAGAAAAGGATGAATAACGTGTCATTTCAGCCTTTATGTTCTGATTACTTGATTTTTGTGTGTGTATAAAGTTATTTCTTTGACCTCTATTTTTTCATATAAGCTTTTATTATTTTTTGCCATCATGAAAGAAGTTTCCAGAAAGGTTGAATATAGATCTAGTGTCATCTCAAGCTTTATGCTGTTTGTTAATTTTATTCTTGTTGCATCTTTCAGTGGATTCGTCAGCGTCCAATTTTGGAGTGTTTGAGGTGCAAGAAGGAGCGGTCCTTCATACAGGTAGGTGTATGTTTGTGTGTGTGTGTGTGTGTGTGTGTGTGTGTGTGTGTGTGTGTGTGTGTGT